TTGAGATGCTGTGGCATGAGTTTAAACAGGTCGTTCATGCTCAAAAATCCTCCAGTGTTGATGAATTAAAACAATTCTGCAAAGGAGAGTGGGCCAAAATTCCTCCACAGCAATGAGAAAGACTCAAACGCTTGATTGCAGTTGTTGCCACCAAGGGACAAATACTTTTTCACAGCAATATATTTAACTCATGCATTTAATTACTTCCTTTTGTGAATTTACTTTAACACCGTTTTATGTGGTAGTTACAGAGTGATTGGGGAGCTTTGAGGTGATAGTGAATTTACGTTTTCTGCATCGCATGCAATATTTAGGAAAAATGTGTCAGATCACCTAAATATCGCATGGGATTGTGCCACCATCACAAGTTAAAGTATAATTGGAGTTCTCATGTGCATTCCCATGTATCATATCTGGCTTCCCCATGTGTCAGAGGAAATACAATGTCCATAAAATCAGTGCAAATAAAGACTATAACCTAGTAAATGTCACGTTGCTGTGCACATGGATCCAGCTCCAGGTTTTGTCTCCTGTCTGAGTTGCTTGGGTTCCTGCCTATCCGCCCTGAACCTAGGTATTATTAAGCCTTTGCACCTGTGTGCTAGTATTCGAGCAATGTGTCTTCATGTGGAAGCCGGACTCCTCTTGTTCCTGTGGTGTTTGCTGCCGGAGCATTCCCATAATCTGTGCGTTGTTTGATCCTGTCTTTGTTCTCAGTGGTTTCCCTCTGCCTGTGAAGTTACATTCCCTTTGGTTTCTGTCCATGGATCTCTTAATTTCCTGTTGCTGTGTGCGTCATTCTCTGCATTGTTTCTTGTTGTTTGCCCTTTCCAGCTTGCTGAGCCTTGGTCTCTGCACGATTGCTCAGTATCCCCAACTCTTCTGCGCTTTACTTTCCTAGCTTGCTTCAGTAGGTTACTTTGGTTCCTAGTATCCTGTGCGTACCCGTGTCCTTCTAGCATGCTATTTGGTTGCACTGTGCCTGCACGGGTGTGTTAGAGAGCCGCAACCTGGGGGCTGCCACGCAGCGCAACATCCACACCTCCAGTGGCTCTGGTGAAGACCGGGTGGCTCCTTAGATTCTGTGACTCTGACATACCTCAGTTTTCGTGCGATCACATTGCTCCTCCATCTGCGAGGACCAGTACTCAGGTACACCTGTTTAGTTGTTTCCACTGGCCTGCTAGATCTTGAGTCGTCAGTCCCAGGTGGTCTTATCCTCCGATCATGACAGTAAACCCTATATTGTCCAGGGCACATTGAGAAGGAAGTTAAAGGGGCAGCTGCATTATTTGGAATCTGCATTTATTTTGTTTCCACTTGTATATGTTTTGTGGGTTTTTTTATTGCATTGGATAGACGCCACTGTATTGGTAATATAACTTAACAAAAGGAAGTGTCTGGCCTCCTAGTATGGAAGACCAAAAATAGGGAGAGTGGGACAGGGTCAGGAAAAGGGGAACAACAACCTTCAACAACAAAACCTCAGTAGAAGACATGTGAGTCGGTGGTCAATACTCGTATACCAAGCATAAAGCCGAAGGGGCTTAGAGCATGTCATATTTTAAGACACAGGTAAAGTTCTTGATTGGCAGGATGTACATGGACCAGGTGTCCTGCCAATCAAGAACTTCATTTGTGTCATAAAACGAGAGGAGGTCATCTATTGTAGGATGTTTTCAAAAAACGTTTTATCAATTTTCAAGGGAATAACACATCCAGCCAGAACAGATGTCTCTAAACTGTTCCTATCTATTGTTGATAATGTGAACCCTTCTCTCTGCTTCCATAGTTTTGTTCACTTCCTCCTGCCAGTCCCGCAGAGTCAGGCAGCAGCTGTACTTCCAGAATCTGAGAAGAAAACTGCAGCATTGAAAGGAAAAAGGTCTCACACTACACTTGTATGATTTTTAAGGAACTAGGGGTGGCATGAAGGAGGTAGTGCAAAGGGGTCAATTCAATGGGTTTAAAGAATAGGTTCACCTTTAAAAAAATAAATAAATGCACATCTCTTTTTCAGATGAAGTGCATCTATTTTTTTTTTTTTTTTTACTAGGAGCCTAGAAAACATTGCACTCGCGATCAGCAGATTATGGGTGCCATGCAGGACTCCTGAAGACTTGTCAGTGTATGTGTCTGCTCGTATCTCATACAGGCAAGCTGATACACACTGACAGGAAGAGTCAATGAACTACCACAGCACTTAACTGCGCCCAACAGACGCAAAGGCCCGCATGGCCACATTTTTAAAGAAAATAGTGGCAGGTAGCGGGTGGAGGTTCAAACACCCCAGAGCATCCTGCAAAAAATCAACTCTATGGTGTCCCTGTTCTTCTTGTCACTGGTGCCATGTGTGGCTGGGATTAGAGCAGAGACCGCATGCAGCTGATTGGCAGTAAGCGGCGGAGTGTAGTTATTCAGTAAGGGTTAATAATTAGAGATGAGCGAATCGAACATGGCGAAGTGGAATTCGTTTCGAAGATCAGGAAAAATTCGATTCGCGCCGAATCCGAAAATTAGCAAACTTCGGATGCACGAATCGAATTTTCCCAAAAATGGCGGCGACATGTGTGGCGACGGAGCGGGGATCTCTGGGAAGGCGCGCAGACAAGGCGCGCTGACCCATAATGCATTCATTCATGACATGTGATCGCATTAGCCAATCAGCAGCCAGCCAGCCAGCACTGTGTAATGGTGGAGCTATAAATTGCGGCCATCTTACAATTCTCCATTAGCCTCCGGTCATTCAAGAGAGACAGACCTGTCTGTATTAGGGACAGAGTTAGGGCAAAAGAGACTTTAGGGCCACAGAATCGTTACTTAGGGACACAGAATCGTTACTCAGGGACACAGAATTGTTACTCAGGGACACAGATTCGTTACTCAGGGACAGACACAGAATTGTTACTCAGGGACACAGAATCGTTACTGAGGGACACAGAATCGTTACTCAGGGACACTGAATTGTTACTCAGGGACACTGAATTGTTACTCAGGGACACTGAATTGTTACTCAGGGACACTGAATTGTTACTCAGGGACACAGAATTGTTACTCAGGGACAGACACAGAATTGTTACTCAGGGACACAGAATCGTTACTCAGGGACACAGAATCGTTACTCAGGGACACAGAATCGTTACTCAGGGACACAGAATCGTTACTCAGGGACACAGAATTGTTACTCAGGGACACAGAATCGTTGAATTAAAGAGTATGTCAGACAACACGCAGAGGAGTGGCAGAGGAGGCAATGTTTCAGGAGCGAGCAGACGTGGCAGCAGAGGAAGGGGTCGAGGCAGCACTAGTCGCAGCCAGAGGCCAGTGCTCCCGGTGTCATCCAGCGGTCGTGTCTCCACCGACAACCCTGCCGTCATCGATTGGTTGGCTCGGTCGTCTTCCTCTTCCCAGGTCACCTCTGACACCTACAGCCAACGGTCGGTGGGTACGTCAGACACAACCGTTAGTTGGCATGGCCCGGGAGCAAGCCCACTGAAATCACGTGTCCTCTACCTGCCCCTGTCCTTTGGTGTTCCCTCACCAAGCGAAGTATCGCATGCTGTGGGCTCAGCCCCACTGTACAGTGAGGAAGAGCTAACAGAGGGCGGTCAGGAACGGGGGGAGACATCCGCCTCTTCAGCAGCCAGGCGAAGAAGTACTGGCGAGGAGAGTGGCTCGGTAGCCGGTCTAGAGACAGGTCTGTCTCCTGACCACCACGCAGCCGAGGAGGCTAGTAGTGAGGCGGAGACCCTAATTGATGATGATGAGGCTGATCGCACTTGGCAGCCTCGTCGTCATCTTCCAGGCCCGTAATCTGCCATGGGCCCCCGTACAGACTCCTCATGCTGCTGCCAGGCCCGTAATCTGTCATGGGCCCCTGTACCACCTCCTCATGCTGCTGCCAGGTCCAGAGTGTGTCATGGGTCCCTGTACGGCCTCCCATTGCTGCTGTCTCCATCGCCACACTCTGCCATGTGCCACTTTCAGGTCTCCTCACACTGCTGGTGGGTTCCATTTTGTCATAGGGTGCTGTATGGCCTCCCATTGCTGCTGCCAGGCCCGTAATCTGCCATGGGCCCCCGTACCGACTCCTCATGCTGCTGCCAGGTCCAGAGTGTGTCATGGGTCCCTGTACGGCCTCCCATTGCTGCTGTCTCCATCGCCACACTCTGCCATGTGCCACTTTCAGGTCTCCTCACACTGCTGGTGGGTTCCATTTTGTCATAGGGTGCTGGCAGATTACGGGCCTCCCATTGCTGCTGCCAGGCCCGTAATCTGCCATGGGCCCCCGTACCGACTCCTCATGCTGCTGCCAGGCCCGTAATCTGTCATGGGCCCCTGTACCGCCTCCTCATGCTGCTGCCAGGTCCAGAGTGTGTCATGGGTCCCTGTACGGCCTCCCATTGCTGCTGTCTCCATCGCCACACTCTGCCATGTGCCACTTTCAGGTCTCCTCACACTGCTGGTGGGTTCCATTTTGTCATGGGGTGCTGGCAGGTTACGGGCCTCCCATTGCTGCTGCCAGGCCCGTAATCTGCCATGGGCCCCCGTACCGACTCCTCATGCTGCTGCCAGGTCCAGAGTGTGTCATGGGTCCCTATACGGCCTCCCATTGCTGCTGTCTCCATCGCCACACTCTGCCATGTGCCACTTTCAGGTCTCCTCACACTGCTGGTGGGTTCCATTTTGTCATAGGGTGCTGTATGGCCTCCCATTGCTGCTGCCAGGCCCGTAATCTGCCATGGGCCCCCGTACCGACTCCTCATGCTGCTGCCAGGTCCAGAGTGTGTCATGGGTCCCTGTACGGCCTCCCATTGCTGCTGTCTCCATCGCCACACTCTGCCATGTGCCACTTTCAGGTCTCCTCACACTGCTGGTGGGTTCCATTTTGTCATAGGGTGCTGGCAGATTACGGGCCTCCCATTGCTGCTGCCAGGCCCGTAATCTGCCATGGGCCCCCGTACCGACTCCTCATGCTGCTGCCAGGCCCGTAATCTGTCATGGGCCCCTGTACCGCCTCCTCATGCTGCTGCCAGGTCCAGAGTGTGTCATGGGTCCCTGTACGGCCTCCCATTGCTGCTGTCTCCATCGCCACACTCTGCCATGTGCCACTTTCAGGTCTCCTCACACTGCTGGTGGGTTCCATTTTGTCATAGGGTGCTGTATGGCCTCCCATTGCTGCTGCCAGGCCCATAATCTGCCATGGGCCCCCGTACCGACTCCTCATGCTGCTGCCAGGCCCGTAATCTGTCATGGGCCCCTGTACCGCCTCCTCATGCTGCTGCCAGGTCCAGAGTGTGTCATGGGTCCCTGTACGGCCTCCCATTGCTGCTGTCTCCATCGCCACACTCTGCCATGTGCCACTTTCAGGTCTCCTCACACTGCTGGTGGGTTCCATTTTTTCATAGGGTGCTGTATGGCCTCCCATTGCTGCTGCCTCCACCGCCACACTGTGGCTCCACACTCTGGTTTTGGCCCCGTGACTGCCCAAATGAGTGAAGTGTGCGGTGATTCTAAGATCGACGGCACTCATCTGCATGTCATACTGACTGACAGTATTATTTCTCTTCCCCAGCAGACTCCAAGGGCATTTAAATTAAAGGTACAGTGTTCTGCACTAATATAAAGGCTCTCTGAAGCCTAGAAACACCCTTTTTATAAGTTAAATTCGCAGCGAATATATTCGACTCTAATCGAATTTATTCCGCGAATTCGCCGAATCAGCCGAATCTAATTTTTGAATAATTCGCTCATCTCTATTAATAATATTTCCGCACTCACACTGTTAACACAGCCAGGCCCTGCCTGAGGCTGACAGTATCTTCTGAAAACTGGCAGAAATTACAATGAGCGCCTTGGCAGCACACTGAGAACAGCAGGAGTGGCTGGCGCCTGTCCTGCCTACCTCTCTATTCCCATTGGTTTTGAGGGAGACGTTTTGCCTAAGCCCTCAAGTGCAGAATGCTGTTCCATGCAGTGTGATTTGGAATCACAGGCAGAATCATGGTGATTCTACCCACAATCCCAAAACACTAAATGTGAAAGGGGCCCTAATGACAGCAACTGAGGCTAGGTTGAGTTTTCCATTGGTGTTGTTTCTCACACCGCATTCTAGTGTGAACCTAGGCTCAAATTGAAACTAGCCTAAAGAAAAGTCAATATATTCCTGGCTGGTACTTGTTTCTTTTCTTTTTTTCAGAATCAGAAAGAACCTTTATTGAACATTTGCAGCATACAGGTTCCACAAATTCTCCAAAGATTGTATCCAGAACATCAGATCATAGAAAAGTAAAGAAATACAATTACAATGTCCAGCACTATATACCCTGGGGCAAATCTGTGCCCTTCAGAGTTGGGTCCAATGGCCCCACCAGTGGGCCGAAAGAGCAGGTATGAAAATAGTCCCACAGCTTGTTAACAGTTACATATTATACCTTGACTGTGAATATATAGAAACCATGTTGTAAAAGTCAACCTACCCCAATATTCTGCTCATGACCAGGTCAACAGGAGCCAAACCAGGAATGTCAAGTCAACCTCCCCGAACCCTATCAAATTTGGCAAAGCATCCCCTGTTACAGATATCAAGTCTGGCTGAAAAAAAAAAAAAGTCCAGTTCAACCAAACCCTGTGTTGATAGATTACCTGCTCATAACGTAAAGTGGTATCCATATGGGTAAGCCATTCCTTAACCCCTCGATGCCAACCTAACACAAATATGCGGCCTCACTGCACTGAGCTTTATGCCATGGAGCCATATATTTGTGTATCTTCCCTTGTGTTGGGAGCGCACGGCACGGCACGCCACCAGCACAGAGACCGGGGTCTCACCATGAGCCCCAGGTCCCATACTGACAATCAGGACCCTGAACTCTCGATTTCAGGTCACCTGATCGCTGTGATAGCCTCTGATCAGAGTGATCAGTCACTGTGAAGCCCGCCCCTGTGTTTCCTCTCTTTGAATGGAGGAGAGAGATACAATGTATCTGTCCTTTCAGAGAGAGAAGTTTGTAAAATTAATAATAAAAAAAAAAGAAAAAAAAATACCTAGATTCATTTTTGATCTTGGACAGTGCCAGGGTTAGTGTTTGGGTTAAGTAAGGGTTAAAGGTCAAGGTCACAATATTTTGGGCAGGATGTTTTTATTTAATTAGTATCAGTGTGTTTTAGGTAGAACAAAAAAAAAAAAAAGCAAAATGTGCCCTGTTGTTTCTAAGCAGTATTACGGGTAAAAAATACAAATAACATACACATGTGGTATCTCTGTGACTGTCAGGAGCAGGAGAATTTTTGGGTTGTTCTTTGGGGGTAGGTTATGGTAGTAACAAGAAATATACAGCTAAATCAATATTTAGAACTATATCTTCTAAGATACCCAATATACATCGCTTGGGGTCAGGGGGAAGATCAATTTGAAATGCTTTTTTAATAGTAGTTAGAACCTGATTCCCAACACCTGTGCAGCTTAGGGCATCTCCACAACATATGTATCCCCATGCTCTCTACTACACTTAGGACAAGCTGGATCAGGCAAAATTTCCATGTTAAGCCATTTAACCGCGGTGTAATGAACTCGCAGCAGAACATACAATCATGTCCATCTCTGAGATATATTTAGGGAGCTATCATGTACTGCCTCTAAGGCCATTTCCCTTTATTCTCCTGTGAATTCCCTAACATCAGGCTTCTACCTGTCCATGGCCCTACAAGGATACGCTTCCAGGGAAATAGACAATAATGAGGTGTAGAAGCTACAGATGAGGCCTTTATAGGTAGTACTATGTTGTAACATGCCAAAAATAGGGGTAAGGGAAAAAAGAAAAATCAGACGGTAACTTTTGAGCCTATACTGCGTGATGCAGTTGTATATAGTAAAAATGCATAGTTTGCAGTAAATGGTACATGGATTGTAAGGTGGAAAATGGCAGTATCTTACCATCCCTAAAGATGTGTTTCAAATGCGATAAGTTTTGCCAGTTCGGGGTACGTGTGATTCTCCCAGATCATACCAAAGTTTGTATAGCATGCAACTGCCTGCATTTGTGTAACTTTCCACACATTTTCTGCATTAATTGGTAAGTGGGAAGAAGTTTATTGGACCTAGCAAAGTATTGGGACTCTAATACTTCAGGGATTGAAGGGGAAGTATAATGCAGCATATGGGATAAAGAAAAGTCCAATAGTAGTCCCTCTGTCCTTTCAAACTGAACCATTGCATACCATCCCTCATATGCTGCAACTGAGCAGCCAAATAGTAAATCCAGAATGCTATACCCTCCTCTGTTTTTGGACGTTGTTTTTGTTCTAAGCAAACACTAGGTGTATTCTGCTTCCATAACAATTGCCTGAAGATAGAGGATAGACTACAGGGGTGTTATGTAAGAAATATAGCAGTTGAGGCATTAAAATCATTTTCGTCAAGTTGGCCCTTCCCATCATAGACAGCCAAAGTTTTTGCTATATAACACAAAAAACAGCGCAAAAATTAAATAAATAAAAATAATCACAAATAAATAAATGTCCATGCAAAAAAAAAAAAATATATATATATAAATATATATATATATAATATTTCAAACATAAGTCCTTATTTTTCCAAAAGGATTTTCAAGACAATGTTCCAAAATGTGCTTCCACCTAATCACCACGTGAAAAATAATATTGACCGCACTCACCAGATGGAGGTGAGTAATAAGCCTCATAGGATATAAGGGATCCTATAGCCCCTCAGGATGAACTCAAATCACCTTCACCCTGCTTAGATACAGCAATCGACTCCACTCTACGTCTCCATGGAATCCTCAATAATGTGCAAGGAAAGAAAGGCTACATAGTGTAATACTGCCACTCAATACCATATAAATCAATAGACTAAGGACACTCACATGTTTCAATAAAATAACAGGCCTTGTTTAATAGCCTCAAAGGCTTCAAAGGAACAAGTTTCCAAATTGTAAATATAGGGATCTCACGCTTTAAGGATCACTGTAGAGGATGACCAGCTTTCCACCTCAAAAATGGCTGCTTGAACCGCAAAAGTCGGCGTGCGTTCCAAATACCGGAAGTGACGTAGGCCAAGATGACGGCAGACTGGAAGTGCGTCAACGCGTTTCGCCCCACCCACAGGGCATTCTCGAGACCTTGGCCTACATAGCGTTCTCATTGTCTTGGCCTACATAGTTTAAAAAAAAAAAAAAAAAAAAAAAACCCACACATGAAAATAACAAAAAGTTAACAATTGCTTACATATTCTACAGGTCAGAAACCCCGCAGTTCAAATTAAAAGGAAGTTATAAATAGAATTTTCATGCTATAAATGAATACCTTCCCATAATTTTATATTCCTCCAATGTTTCTTAAGTGCTAAACTCTTTATCCACCAACTCTGAGAGGATTACATCTGCAATTTTCCTAGACAGGAACAGTTCATTGTGCATGGCTACCTTCATCCGTGCGTGCCAGTGATATTATTATTTACAGGATTTATATAGCGCAAAAACAGTTTGCTCAGCGCTTTACAATATAACGGGCGACAATACAGCAACAATACAGTTCAATACAAGAGGGTTAGGGGGGCCCTGATCCTTGGAGCTTACAATGACCACAGTAATGATAATGTACATAGTTCCGCTATCTATTATGTATATTTTTGGGGGCATGCCATAAAGCCTGTCAGAGCAGCTCAGGTTCCCCAGCCTTTGGATCCTAACTCTGTCAACTACTTCCTACCAGACTTCATGGCTTCCTGAACAATCCACCACAAAATGCACCATGGACTCCTAATTACAGCTCAAAAGACAGTTCCTCTCAGAGGCAGCCAGACCTTTCACGTTTCCCCTCACATACATCCTTCCATTGAGAGACAGCCAGGCAATGTCATGAAACTTTAAGGGAAGTCTGGGGCAATTTAGCAACTTTAGACTTTCCTCCAAAGCAGATGTAGTGCAGTCCCTGAGTACAAGTGGAGAACAGAAAGTTCCACAGAGCATGTGATATAATAACACTGTTCAACAGGTAAAAAGTTTTGGGCATAAAATTAGCTAATCTTACATAATTTTGGGGTGCTGAAAACGAAAATGACCCTAAAAAATGTTGATTGGCTCTAGTTTCCATGATATATTCACCCATCTAATGACGTAAGCCATTCAAAATTATGATGCAACTTCAGCTGCATATTGCGCAATTGATACTGGTTACCAATAGAAAATTGCATGTATACTGAGATGATGCAATATTAGCCTTTAATTGCATCACTTCACTGCATAAAAGCTGCAGTATCTGTAGCTGATTGTAGTTCGACAGCGTCTTTACATTTCGTTTTATGCTTATATAGGCTACTCAGTAATGCCTCGAACTTGTGTGAAAAAAGCAGATAATTTCTGCTATATCTGCGGTGAAATAACTTTTATCTCACAAAAAAGGAGGATAACAGGAATGATTAAGAAAGCCTACAACTTGTATTTTGGCTGCAAGATAGGAGACCAGGACAAGAGCTGGGCACCACATATATGCTGCAATTCTTGTGGGACGGCACTGGAGCAATGGTTGAATGGAAAAAAGGCATCTATGCCTTTCGCTGTGCCAATGATTTGGAGAGAGCCAACAGATCATGTTAGTAATTGTTAC